AAACACTAGAGCAAAAACATTTACTCTCAAAAGCCTTAGACTTCTTATTAGTATTAATATTTATATTAATTACTATTTTATATTTTAGTAATAATAAATATTACAAAGCATACTTGGCTCTATCGTTGGTGATGGACCTTTAGGTATAAAAATGTTTACAGATCACAATTAGGTGCAATACCTTCAGCTGCACCTAAATATAGTTTTAATATTTTGCCATCTCTGAGACAGAAATTCCTCCTTCACAGGGCTTGAGTCTATTATTTTTTTTAAAGTCCACTTAGCACAAAGAATTTCAATGGGATAGTTGAGAAAGATAAAATAATATAAGCAATGATGAGAAATTAGAAGTGTTCGTGACTGTTTTCATCATAACTTGTAATGGCACACCTTTTCTAACTGTACGATGCTATTGTAGGATATGCTCCACCAAAACAAGGAAGTAAGCCAAAAAAGAAGAAGACATTACATGAATGAACTAAGGAGCCCAACTTAGGATACAGGCAGATGGAATTTCTAGAAAGTAACCAGTCTAGATAAAGAATGGAAATCTCCTGAGAAATGGATATATTATCTGAGATGACCAAGTGGGGCTGAAAGTACAGAAAGCTTTAGCAACAGGCACAAAGAATCCAAACCAGAAAATAGCAGGGAAATTAGTCACCTTCATTACTTGCAGCTATAAGTAGTAAATATAGACACTCTTCCAGCTTAGAAAGTCAGGTAAGAGAAAACATTGGCCTATTGTAGAGTTTCCTTGTCAAATATGTTGCCTCTGCTGGTCACAGCACCCTGTGGAATCCATTATGATTAAAGGCTCAATATCCCGGAGATTTCTGGATGGATAAATATATATATTTCAAGGCTAATAGGACAGATGGATGAATGATTTCACATTTGGTTAATGGAATCACACATATCTCTTTGCACTTAGAAAACGAAAAGTATAAACACATGATAAATATTTTTATATAAATTGGTTCATATTCATGCTATTTTAAGCACATTTTTAAAATATATTTTATTGATTTTACAGAAAGGAAGGGAGAGGGATAAAGAATTAGAAACATCAATGAAAGAGAAACATCAATCAGTTGCCTCCTGCACATCCCCTATGGGTTATGTGTCCGCAACCAAGGTACATGCCCTTGACCGGAATCAAACATAGGACCCTTCAGTCCTCAGGCCAGTGCTCTATCCACTGAGCCAAACTGGTTAGGGCTAAGCACATTTATTTTTAATGTACAGTGGGGCCTTGACTTACGAGTGTCCCGACTAAAGAGTTTTTCAAGATACGAGCCATCTCTCGGCCAATTTTTTGCTTTGAGTTGCGAGCTAAAATTCGGGTTACAAACCAGCTTCAGATACCCCACCACTAGTTGGCGCAGCGAACATCACAGTGAAAGCCACAACATCAGCCCAGCATCATGTGTCTCACTCGTTCACTGTTGATTTGACATATGAGTAATTTGAGTTACGAGCTCCATCACAGAACGAATTAAACTCGTAAGTCAAGGCCCCACTGTAATAGCAAGAAAACTATTTACTACATAACTAAAGAACATATTCTACGTCAGAGTCCTTTTTAAAAATGGTATAAGATGAGAGTCAAAACAATCTCCTTGATAAAAGAATAATGTTTCATTTTATCTAGAGGTTGTGTCCATTAGGTTTTTAAACACTAAGTCTTATCTTGAGAGAATATCAATTAGAACCCTAAAACTGAAGTATGAGGAAATTAAAACACTTCAATTTCTGACTTCTCAAGATTTAAGAAGGCTTGCTTCAGAACTTAAACGTTTTAGTAGATACTGTTATTTGTCTGTCCTGGTCCATTGCTCCCTTCCTTGCTGATCTAGCAATGCTGATTTTCTTCCCATATGATGAAGTAAAATTATCAGAGGATGTGGGCCTCACTTTGAGCCACAGGGTAGTAAACCACGATTGACCTAAGCCAAGCTCCAATTTCATCCTTTTTGTCAGTGACCAGTTTAGAGATAGTCATTTGGCCCAATTTTGGTCACTGGCAGAGAAGGGAAATCTGCTCAGAGAAAAGGCTTCTGGTGTTTCTCCTGTAACAGGGGAAAGATGAAAAAAAGAATTTCTTGTGCCTCTTTTTAAAATTAATTTTAAATATTACATTAGAACTAGGGGCCCAGTGCACGAAATTTGTGCATGGGGTGGGGGGTGTCCTCAGCCTGACCTGCACCCTCTCAAATCTGGGAGCCATCAGGGGATTTCCTACTGACAGCTTAGGCTTGCTCCCTGTGGTTCTCTGCTCCCTGCAGGGCCTGCCGGCTCCACACCTCAGTGACTGCCAAGCAGGCCATGCTAGGAGCTGCCTCCTACCTGCTGGCAGTCTCCATGGAGGTGATGAGGTTAATTTGCATACTCACTCTGATTGGCTGGTGAGTGTAGTGAAGGGACAGTTAATTTACATGTTTCTCTTTTATTATATGGGATGTTTTACCACAGAACATCTGAAAATGGTTCATCCATCATATGGTTAGGAAAAAATCTCTATTCTGCTTTTATTCTTAAAGTGTGTTTATTTTATAAAGTGATTTGGGTAACAAGATAAACTGGAGTGATGTGGTAGAAAGTCACCTAGTTGTGGCAAGTGGAACTCTGAAATATGCTGGTCTTGGAGGAGGGAATACTTGAGACCTAATAGATTAGAAGGTCTGGTAGAAGAGGATTTTATGTCTTGCCTTTTCACCATTTTTATGCTCTTTATTGAATAATACACATTCTTAATTTCAATTTAGTCAAATTTATCAATGTTTTCTTTTGTGACTAATAATTTTTAAAATCCTTCCCCTTTGTATCTTCTAAAACCTTTATAGTTTTGCCTCTGACAGTTGGGCCTTGAATACACTAGGACTTGTGTTTTCCACGAGTGAGTATGTATGTGGCTACTCAACTGTGCCAGCACCATTTCCAGCAAAGCCCTTCCTTGCCCTGCCACACCTCTCATCTAGCAAGTGGTCATGAAGACATGAATCTACTGCTATGCTTCGTATTCTGTTCATTTTGTTTGTTGGTCAATCCCTAGATGATTACCATACTTCCCTTGATTGGCACCTTATAGTACATCTTGTTATCTGGGGAATCAAATCCTTCCACCTTATATTTTATCTTTTTAATAGTGTTTGGGCTAGCCTTGGCCCTTTCAAGTTCTGCACAAACACACACATTCTGCTGGGTTGGAATTGTTGGAATTGTTGGATATTGTTGGAAATTCATTAAGATTACATTAAATATATCAATCAATTTGAGGAAACTGACTGTTTATAATATTATGTTTCCAAATTAAAAAATCTAGCATATCTCACATTGAATATCTTTGTACTTAGTTACCATGGTGACTCAATACATTTTTCTAATTGTCTCTTTGCAGTATTTTATACATCCTTTGTTACATTTACTCAGAAGAATTGAAAAATTAAGTCCTGCTGTTTATGGCTGCATTTTATAAATTTTCATTTTTATTTTTTTATTTTTTTATTTTTTTAAATTATGATACAGGGCTGGAGAGTCAACATGTTTTTGTTTTTTAAATATATTTTATTGGTTTTTTACAGAGAGGAAGGGAGAGAGATAGAGAGTTAGAAACATCAATGAGAGAGAAACATCGATCAGCTGCCTCCTGCACATCTCCCACTGGGGATGTGCCCGCAACCAAGGTACATGCCCTTGACTGGAATCAAACCTGGGACCTTTCAGTTCGCAGGCTGACACTCTATCCACTGAGCCAAACCGGTTTCGGCAAATTTTCATTTTTAATTATTTGTTATTGTTATGTGAAAATATAATCGATATTCATATTGATTTTGTAATAAACTACCTTGTTAAACTTCCTTACAATTACAATAATATATGTGTGCACATGCGCGTGCCTGTATTTCTTCTTTTTGTCTAACTATGTTGTTAGGATCTCTAGTAAATGTTGAAAACAAAGCAATGTTGTACATCTTTATCTCATTCTCCTTTTTCTTTTCTTTTCTTTTTTTTCTTGTTACTCCTCACCCAAGGATATTTTTCCATCGATTTTTAGAGATGAAGGGAGGAGGGGAGACAGAGAAAGAGAAATATCGATGTAATCAATTGATTGCCTCCTGCACCCGCCCTGACCGGGGCCAGGGCAGGGGATCAAGCCTGCAAGCAAGGTACACGCCCTTGACCAGAATCGAACCCAGGACCCTTCAGTCCACTGGCTGACGCTCTATCCACTGATCCAAACCAGCTAGGGCTTATCTCATTCTTTGTCTTAAAGGGAAGAATGTTAGCATTTCATCATTAAGTATGATGTCTGTTGTGTGGGTTGTTTTTTTTTTTTCTTGATACGTCCTCTTTAAAAATGCTTATTGTTATATTAGCATGTAAAGAGTGTTATCAGCCCTGACTGGTTTTGCTCAGTGGATAGAGCACTGGCCAGCCAACTGAAGGGTCCCAGGTTCAATTCCAGTTAAGCTGCAGGTTCCCCACCACCAATTGGGGTGTGTGTCTCTCTCACATCAATGTCTCTCTATCTCTATCTCTCCCCCTACCTTCCACTCTCTCTAAAAACCAATGGAAAAGTATCCTCGTGTGAAGATTAGCAACAACAAAAAAAGAGTCTTTCATAATTAAAGTTAATTTTTGTCAAAAACTTTCTTAGATCTTCTGACATGTATCCTTTAATTTGTTAATGTGACAAGTTATTTTCCTATTGTTTGTTTTTATGCTAAATAATTCTTGCATTTGGGGGCATAAAAACTTTATCAAAATGCGAAGTTATTTTATTTTACTAATACTTTAAAATATTTGCATCTATCTCATGAATAGGATTAGACTGTGATTTTCTGTTTCACACTTTATCTCAGGTTTGGTGTCAATGGCTTAATAGTAAGAGTATTCATTTTCTCATTTTATAAGAAGTCCAAAAACAAAGAGTTTTGGGTTGATTAAATTAAAAGACTCAAAAGGGCATTCAAGGTCCCAGAATCCTGAGGATGAGCTCACACACTCAGAATACTCCGAACCATCCCTCGCAGTGATCTCTTCTTCCCCAGCCTCCTCAGGGCTCCCTTCACCTCTGCGTTCCTCAGGCTGTAGATCAGGGGATTCAGCAAAGGGTTGAAAAGGCTGTAAAACAACGATAGAATCTTCCTTTGTTCTTGAGAGTGGCTGGATTTGGGGGCCAGGTACATGATGATGGCACTGCCAAAGAAGAGCCCGACCACGCAGAGGTGGGAGGAGCAGGTGGAGAAGGCCTTTCGGCGGCCCTCCTCAGACTGGATCCTCAGGATGGCAACGAGGATGCGTGTGTAGGACACCAGCACCAAGCTGAGGGGCCCCACTAAGACTAACACGGAGCCCACAAACAGGACAATCTGGTTGAGCCTAGTGTCACCACAGGCCAATTTGAATACTGACATGATTTGACAGAAAAAGTGGTTGATTTTTGTGGCCCACAAAAGGGCAGCCTCAGAATGAGAGTAATGTGGACTAGAGCCAAGAGGAAGCTGAATACCCAGGAAGCGGCAGCCAGGACTATGCACACTCTCCAGCTCATGATGACAGAGTAATGGAGGGGGTGGCAGATGGCCACGTAGCGATCATAGGACATCACCACCAGACTCATACACTCTGTGACAGCAAATGCCAAGTACAGGAAGGTCTGAAGAATGCATGGAGCAAAGGAGATGGTTTTCTTCTGCGTCACAAGATTTGCCAGCATCTTGGGAACAATGCTTGAGGCATAGGACATGTCAATGATGGCCAGGTTTGAGAGGAAGAAGTACATGGGGGTGTGCAGTCTGGAGTCCAGGCAGATGAGCCCCAGGATCACCCCGTTTCCCATCAGGGTGAGGCTGTAGAAGAGCAAAAAGAACCCAAAGAGGAAAATTTCAAGTTCTGGGTCAACCTGGAAGCCCAACAGGATAACTTCTGTGATCCATGTCTGGTTGCTCCCCATGTTCTTCTGATAGGTAAATACAATGCTGAACTTAGGACAGAAACTTCAGAGCTGAGAAGTAGAAAAGGAAAAAGATGATATGCTCATACAGAGAGAATTTATACCAGAAGCCACAAATCAGTAATTCATGGATTCAATACAGCCCACAGTCCTATAATGCTGATCTGCAAATGTGGCATTTGGAGATATTTTAAAACTTTAGATATTGACCAATATTAAAAATTTGGAGATTTCACATAAAAATTGGGGTCTTCTCATTCTTATACACCCAAAAAAAAAAAAAAAAAAAAAAAAAAAGAAAGGTGGGAACAGTTTCTCTCTCTGTCGCCCCCTTCCTCCAACTCTCTCTAAAAATCAATGGGGGAAAAATCACTATATAAGGATTAACAACAACAGAAAAAGTTCTCATATTAAAAAGTTTTCTGCCCTGATGGGTTTGGCTCAGTGGATACAGCGTTGGCCTGCGGACTCAAGGGTCCCAGGTTCGATTCTGATCGGGGGCATGTACCTTGGTTGCAGGCGCATCCCCAGTGGGGAGTGTGCAGGAGGCAGCTGATGGATGTTTCTCTCTCATCGATGTTTCTAACTCTCTATCCCTCTCCCTTCCTTTCTGTAGGAAATCAATAAAAATATATTTTAAAATAAAATAAAAGCTTTGATACTCCTTGGAAAGTATTGTAAGCAATAATCACCTGAATATAATGAAGAGACAGAGACAGGTCACTTACCACTAATCTCTATTTTCTCCCAGAAATTGAACCTTAGTGGCACTTAATTTTATCATTGCACTTACACTATTGGTTGTATATTTAGTTTTAAGTAAAGAGCTATGCTCAAGATGAGTTCTTTAGTTCTCCTCTACTTGAAACACATGAATATAACAGGTCAAAATATAAACTGCAAACCCGAATAGACAGCCAGAACTTAAAATGAGACAATTCTTCCACATACCAGAAATAAATCAGAAATATGATGACATGCTCTCAGGATGTAAGCAGAGAGTCATACCTGGAACTCAGCTTGGATGGAGGCGGGGTACCAATATGGTTCCTTGAAACTAAGCACTTGGGCTGAGGCCATAGAGGGAGGTATAGAACAGCTACTGGGCTGCTGGGTAAAATGACTATAAAGAAGTCAGTATGCTTGCTGCTCTCTCATTAACCCCTTCCCCGGCAGAAACGTGTATACTCGTTTTCACAAAATGTTCTTTTTCAGTCGTCGACGAGTATACTAAGAAAATATGGTAAAAAAAAACATGGTTTATAGGAAGACGAGTTACAAACTGTTTTCATAACCAGCATCAAAAATACTATATAGAACCAAAATAAAAAAATTAGTCTGAAAAAGAAACATTTTTAACAAAAAAATTGTTGGGGAAGGGGTTCACCAGAGACTGATACACTGTCATAGGACCTGATTCTACACTAGGGGGCGTGGAGCCAAGTGAGGAACAACAAAAACTCAAAATC